TGTCTCGGCTCGCCCGCCGCTCGCCGCCCTCCCCGCAAACCCACCCGCGGCTGTGCCAACCGCCCGGGGCATGGGCCCCCCAGCACGGCTCCTGTAGGCCCCGGGGCCTCGGAAGATGTGAGAGGCCCGCCCGGGGCAGACCCAGAGCTTCGGGAGAGGAGCTGCGCGCCCCCCCTCCCCAGCCTCTCCGCGCCCGGGCCGTGCGCGCTGCGCCCCCGCCGTGCCCAGCGTCCTCGAACCGCCGGGTCCCGGGCTGGAAGGAGTCTCAGCCGGCCGGAGGCGCGCCGTGGAGAGCAGGCTGCTGCCATGTCCTACTGAGCCCCCGTGCCCCCTTGCCAAGTATGTTTGGGCTGGACCAGTTCGAACCCCAGATCAACAGCAGGAACGCTGGCCAGGGCGAGAGGAACTTTAACGAGACCGGACTGAGCATGAACGCCCACTTTAAGGCCCCCGCCTTCCACACCGGGGCCCCCCCTGGCCCCGTGGACCCTGCCATGGGCACGCTGGGCGAGCCCCCGCTCTTGGGCATGAACATGGAGCCCTACGGCTTCCCCGCGCGCGGCCACTCGGAGCTGCACGCCGGGGGCTTGCAGGCGCAGCCCGTGCACGGCTTCTTTGGCGGCCAGCAGCCCCACCACGGCCACCCGGGAGGCCACCACCCCCACCAGCATCACCCACACTTCGGAGGCAACTTCGGCGGCCCGGATCCGGGGGCCTCGTGTCTGCACGGGGGGCGCCTGCTGGGCTACGGGGGCGCAGCCGGCGGCCTGGGCAGCCAGCCGCCCTTCGCGGAGGGTTACGAGCACATGACGGAGAGCCAGGGCCCGGAGAGCTTCGGCCCGCAGCGACCCGGAAACCTCCCGGACTTCCACAGTTCGGGCGCCTCGGGCCACGCCGTGCCCGCCCCGTGCCTGCCGCTGGACCAGAGCCCGAACCGGGCCGCCTCGTTCCACGGCCTGCCGGCCTCCAGCGCCGCCGATTCCCACAGCCTCGAGCCGCGGAGGGTCACGAACCAAGGAGCCGTCGACTCGCTGGAATACAATTACCCGGGCGAGGCGTCCTCGGGACATTTTGACATGTTTTCCCCCTCCGATTCCGAGGGGCAGCTGCCTCATTACGCAGCGGGTCGCCAGGTCCCGGGGGCCGCCTTCCCGGGTGCCCCGGCCATGCCCAGAGCCGGGGGCATGGTGGACTTGTCCAAAATGCACGCCCAGCCACCGCAGCAGCCGCCGGCGCAGCAGCAGCAGCAACAGCAGCAGCAGCAGCAGCAGCAGCACGGCGTGTTCTTCGAGAGGTTTGGAGGGACCCGAAAGATGCCGGTGAACCTGGAGCCGGGGGTGGGCTCCAGGCACCCGCTGATGCAGCCGCCCCA